TTTCATGTATTTTCCTTATTTGCTATACTCAGTATCAATTAACTCTCATCAACTATCATCCATAAATATTATCTATAAAAATAAAAAAATAAAATAAAAAGAAGTTTAAGTTTAATTTAGATCATCAATCATTATCTTATGGTCTTAATTCTTCAAATTGTGAATGTTTTACTATACATTTCACATTGGCTAGATAATACATCAACTACTTGAGTATTCTAAACAAGAAAAACTCGAGTGATAGAGGTATCTTTTTATCTTTTTGGTATCCCTTTTGTTTTGCACATAAAAAAACAAAAAAGAAGAATAGGAACCAACAAATACAAAAGAATAGAATATAATTTTTTAAAAAAAAAAGGGATCCCTTTGAATTTTTTTTTCTTATATCAATATTTATGAAAGTACAATTTATATCATAATTCATAAACTAGTGTCTAATTTTTTTTATGTAATAAAAAATGAGGAGTTATTGAGAATTCTAAAGAAGTATTATTTTTTTTTTGCCAATATTATCCAAACACTCTAAGAATAGGTATTTTTTAGATAAGTTTTTCACTATAAGCTCAAGAAATAAAGACAAAATGTATACAAATAAAGTGTACAAGAAAAAAAAATGATTGAATAGATGTACTCCTAAAAATTTAACTATTTCAAATGTTTCAATATCAATGATATCGGTGATATTTATTTTAAATTTTTTAATTCTAACTCATGTAATGTATGAAAAACTGCCTAGTCTCACATTAAAAGGGTGTGCATGAGAGTGATTCTACTTTTAGCATATTCTTAAGATGATCTCGTACGTAGATTATTTTAGTGATGGTGAGCATTATTCGTAGAGCGCCACCAAAGCCTGAAATAAATATTATCTTAAGTATTGAACATGAGAGTATTTTAGTTACTGAAAGATTGTAATTTTTTGTTAAAGAACTTTGGTTACTAATTAAAACCATCAGTATCTTTCTATCAAAAAAAAAACCATCAATATCTTAACTGGTTTAACGGAATATTTTGTTTATGATTAATATGATCACATTGTGATTATTAACTCTTGATCCAATGCCTTAACCAGCTTAATGACTGGTCTGGCTTTCTATACCTTTATAATTACAAAAATGCCCTTCATCCTTTCCTCCACCAACCACCATGAGCATTTTTTTTTTTTTTTGGTCGAAAGGGGGTGAATTCAATCATTGACGGGTAACAATTTTGATGGTGCTCTTCCATGGCCACACAATATGGGCCCCCTTCCTAAAAAGGACATTTAAAAGCCTTTTAAAATCATGGCCCATAATAATATCTCCTCGGCCTCCACCAAAAAACCAATGACTGAGGTATTGAAACTATGTGATCTCACTGACGTCCCACGAAAACGTTTTTTTTTTTTTTTTGCACCCTGTATATTGAAGAATCTGAGTATGTTGGATTTATTATTCATCCAATTCACTCTAAATTAATTTTAAAAAAATGTTATAATAGAGACAGTTATTTAGTATTATTTTAATGACAAAGGTTGAATTTAATAGAAGAAACTAGTCTTTTCTAATATTATTAACGAAGATTCAAATTTCTATTAAGACATGTAACCACGCTAAGTGCCGGATTGTGCATTAAATAAGATTGTGTTCATAAAAGGATATCTGTTGCTAACAAAAAGAAAAAATATCATGTTTCTCTTTCTCCGAATTTTGTTCATCCTCGTCTTCCCGTTCTTCTGAAGTTTTCTATTCCTTGTCACTGTATTCTCATCTGTTTCCTTCTTCGTCATCATTTCCCTTTTCTTGTTCAACCTGATGTTATTCTTCTTCTTTTTTCATACACGATCATTTCTCTTTTTTTTTTTTGTTTAATCAAGTGTATTTTGATTATTTGATATTTAAAAGTATTTTCAGTTCGGGCCTTTAACCTGCAGAGCATAATCAGATTTCATTGTACCTTGTTTGCAATTTAGGATAAATCAACATTTCGTATTCTAAAAGCACTTTCTCACTGTTTTTTTATGTGAAAAGCTTTTTGAAATAATTATTTGAGAGCAAAAGCACTTTAAAAAAGAATTTTTAAAATGGACTTAAATGTAAAAAATAAAGGCTCCATCCAATAGCTTTTAAAAAGTAAATTTTAAAAGTGAGATGTTATTTAACTATGTTATCCCACATTTAATTTCTTATTGTTTGATAATAATAATTAGATATCAAGTTTTTAACATTATAAATTACATAATTAATCATATTAATTTTTAACATTAGTGTATAATAAAAATTAAAAATATTTATCATATTTTTTAAAATTCAAATTAAAATAGTACAACTAATTAGATATCAAATTTTTAACATTATAGATTAAATTTTATATTATTTAAAATTTTTATCATATTTTTTAAATATTTTAAATATATTATATTTACAAATGATCATATATCAATATTTTTTAAAATAATTGTACATTCAAAAATATATTTTGTTATCATAATTTAAATAATTTTTAATTTATCAAACTAATTTTTAAAATAATATTTAAATATAAATTTTATTATAATAATTAATTTTTATTAAATTATTTTTTAACAAATTAAAATCAAACACACACTTGATTATTTAAAGGACAATAGTTGAGATTCTCTTGTAAATTAATTATGGCACAACACAGCAGTACAAGAGCCTCATTCAATTACGAATTCCGCGGGGCCCGCTAAGAGGCGCGCTACCCACAACACGCAATATACCGCTATACATTTATTACATTATTATATATTTCAGCCAAATATTAAAAAAATTTCACTTAATTTTCTTATTTTTTATTTTAAAATTATATATTTATGAAAATTTTAATATGATATTCTTTTAGAGGTATGGATTTTTATTAAATATGAAAAATTATTGTCACTAATTTTAAGCATGGACTATAATTTTTTTCTCTCATCCTTTCTCTTCGCGGCGGCAGTGTCATTCAGCCAATTGTAATCATATAATGAAAATTAAGGTGAGCCTACACGATTAAATTGATAAATTTTTAAACTAATATCTTAATTAGTTTAATAAAATATTTTGTTTATAATCAACTATAATTTTAATAATTAATTTTTAAATCAGTACCTTAATCATTATAATGAATATTCCAACTTCAGTATCCTGAGCCACATCAGAGAGGATCTCAAAACTTTTGTCAAACATTTCAAACGGCCGATAGCAAAAAAGTGTAAGGAAATCAATATTTAATTATTTATATAAGATATCGGAAGCTCCTTGTAACGCAAACAACATGATTTACGACACATAAATATAGGTGGCTTCTATCTCTCATAGGAGGGAAGGAATTTAGTCTCATCGTTAAAATTAATTGAAAACGGAAAAATATTACGTTTACTCTTATTTTAGAGTATATATTTTTTTAAAAAAAAAAAATACATCTCAAGAAGGTGGAAACAAACTTTGAAATTAAAACTACTCAATGCTCTGTTTTTTTTTTTTAAATACAGAGTTACCAACCAATATATAAGATGATGAAATTGTTCTAGGAGATAATCAATATATAAGGGGAGAGGGAGTATTTTTCAAATCAAATATAAAAGACCCACTTTAATCAACTGCAAAGAGTCAGCTCTTTTTTCACTAAGGGTCAAAGACTTTAATCAATACTTCATTAGATCTAAAATATAAATAATTTTTTTAAAATTTTTTGCATATTAATAAACTTTTTATTTCTATAAAAATATATACTTCATTCCCATATTATAAGATATTTTTAAAAGAGATTTAATGTTCCAAAATACTTTTTCTATCCCAAATTATAAGACACTTTTAGATAAAATTTTACATATTAATAAATCTCATTAAATATACTTAACAACCTTATATTTTTAAGATAAAAATGTCAACTTTCAAAAATGCTCATCATTTAATAAATTAAAAAGAAAAGAAATAAAAATTAATTATTGAGAGAAAGGGTAATATTAAAATTGTGTATTTAATGAAACTTTAATATACTCAAAAGTGTCTTATATTTTGGGATGGAAAAACTCCTTCAAAAGTATCCTATAATTTAGAACAGAGGGAGTATAAGACACTTTGATAAAATTAATATTTTATTAAATAAACTTACTCTAATATTACCCTTTCTTCCCTCCCTATTTAATAACTAAGTAGTGTAGATTTAATGTTATTAAATGAATTGTATTTTTAAAATTTTATATTTTTATTTTTAAAAAATGAGATTATTAAGTATAGTTAATGAAGTTATAATTCAAAGGAGGGAATATTTTTTCCTTTTACTTCTAGTCTTAATTATCAATGCATTTCATAATAAATGAGAGGTATATTTATACAAATCTAGATTAATAAATAAAATGAAGAAAAAATTTATATATATTAAATTATTTATATCTTGAATTAAAATTAATTTAAAAGAAATGCTTATATTATAGATCCAAGGAAGCAGGATATGAGCACAGTGGGAGCATTAAACAAGCAGTTTAAGGTTTCATTTTCAATCCAAGCAAATCTTTTTTATTTTTTTGTTTTTGGTCCAAATCCAAGCAAATCTTATCGTTAAAGGGTCAGTCTTTTTTTTTCTTGTACCTTTGAAAAAATTACACATTGAAGATAAATACATTTAATTTTAATATTATACTCTGTTTATAACAAAATTACGAATTATTTTTTTAAAAATTAAATATTTAAAAAGATAACATATTTTTATCTTTTAAAATATAATAATTATTTTTTAAAGTTCCTGTTGAATATATAATTTTATATTTATTTTATAAAAATAAATATAAAAATATAAAATTAATTTTAAAATAAAAAATTATTTTATTAAGAAATAAAATTTGATTAAAAATATTTTTTATTTATTAAAAAGAGAAAGCAAAGCTTTATTCTCCTAAACAGGATAGCAATTAAATAAAGCTGTTTGGCCATTGATTTCAAATTAAAATAAGAAGCAAAAAGGCATCGGCACTGGAATCTTTGATAAAAGGCTCACTGTGCTTCCAGAGCTCCTCAAAACCAGAGAATTGGAGCAAGTAGCAACACCGCCGAGAGAGAGAGAGAGAGAGAGAGAGAGATGGCTCGGAGCTCCACGAGAATGAAATTGGCCTGCACATTCCTGCTGCTTCTCCTTCCTCATTTGGTTACCAGCACCACGACCACGACGGCCGAAGACGGTAACGTCCTCTACCTTCTCCTCTCTGCCTCAATTTAAGGGCAGTGATTTTCGTAGCTTCCATTCCCCCACAACATCTTGTTTCAGAAACCGGTCGTCTCATTTTTTTTTTCCCGGTTCTCTTGAGTGAGATCTGAATATCTGGCACAGTTCAACTATGCAAGCTCTAGGTTCTCCATCGTTTCTTAGTGATTATAGTACTTATTTCTTGGATTTTGGTGGCATTTCATTCCGTTCTCTAGCTTACTCCTCTGACACGAAGACTGCTGTTCAATCATCGTTTTTCCTTGGAGCCTTGGAATTTTAGCTGTGTATTTCAAGTGTTCGCGAAAAGGCTCCTAGAAAACGAACTGAAGGAAAATCATTGATCCATTTCTTAATAAGAAGTATAATTCCTTGAGTATAATTTCTCATCAGCAATTTGGTTAGATTAGGTAGCACTAGCAGGTTCTTGGTCCACAACATGATTCAAGAGCTATATGCTAGTTTTAAACTTCAAGGTTCAGATTCTGAGAGTTCTTTTGCCAGATGACTGAGCTATCCTTAATTGAGAGAATATTTTAAGATCGAGGAGCAGGAGACTTTTCCTTAATAATCTTGAACTTGAGTTGAAGATTGCTTAGAAAATAGAAAGCCATTGAGGGGACCCCATCCTACTTTAATCATGATATGAACTGCTTCACCATTTTGGCATCTTCTAGGTCATAACTCATAGTCATTCTGTTCAAACCCAGAAGCCCCACCCTCTCTCCTGATTTTACCACATTATTTTCTCTTGATAACGCTAAGGGCCCGTTTGGCTATAAAAAGTTCTTTTACGATGTGATGTTCGTTATTTCATTACATTATATTCTTTGTATTAAACGGATCCCTATCAGTTCTATCTGTCCCTTTCAGATTTTCCACCGAATTTTTATTTTTATTATTTTTCTTATGATTTCTTATTACCATTTCACATATCGTGATTTTTATATTTTAAGTTCTTGCGTGATATAGAAATTGAAATCCGTCAATGGCTCCAAATTTTCTATGATGGGTGCCGGACTATCGGTTATTTCATTTCTCACTTAAGTTTAACTAAATGTTTCTTTACATCAATTTTTGATTAAAACTATAAAAGGAAAAAAAGTTTGAGAAATAAAAGTGGATTTTATATAGGTAATTAGAGTTGTTTCTGTGTAATCTGAGCTCAAAACAAATCATTTGATTTCTGGCTTGTTGAATAATGCATTTTTTATGTTGTACATTATTAATCATTAATGATAATTGAAGTGAAAAGTAATTAACCATGTCTAATGATAAACCCTAATAAAACCTATTATTGTACGACGACCTTTCTCACTATCCATAGGATGGGAAATGATCTTGAGGGGGAGAGGGTGTTTGCTTTTCCCTTCTCCCCGTTTCCTCTCATCACCTTTAAAGGTATGTTTGGTTGGAGATTTTAAAAGGATATTCTCTTCCCCTTATTTGATTAAAAAATTTTAGAAGGGAGGGGAGCCAAAATAACCCTTCCCCTCCCTTTTAAATTTGGGTTTTTTGGAGGGGAGTTAATATTTTAACTATTCCATCCTTATATATTCTTTTAATATTATAAGTATATCCATAATTAAAAAAAATTTCCCTTCATATCAGATTATATTTCACTTCTAGAACTCAATTGACTTCATTGAATTTTTTTTAACAAAATTACAGTTTATCATATTTTATTATATGTTTAAGAGAGTTATTTATTTTTTTGTACAAAAATTGTTATCATTATAATTATTGGTTTAATTTTTTTATTTATATATTGACAAGACAGGATAAGAGTGAATTTTTAAAAAATTATATAATTTAAATTAAACTGTAAAATTATTTTCTACAAGAAAGAATAAAAAAAATTAAACTAATATATAAGGATATAATAATAAATTAATTATTACCTTCATTTCTCTTCCCTTCTAAATTATACAAAAGATCATTAAAAACACCTCCCCTCTCCTCTCTTCCAACAAAATCAAATAAGGTAATATTAGAACCTTTTCCTCCCCTCCTCTCCCCTTCCTTCAAACCAAACATAGCTTAAATTAAAATTTCAACTGATTAAATTTAATATTTAATAAAATTATTAGTTTAATTTTATACAAAAATATATAAATAAGTTTAAACTATTAAATCTTAATCTAAATAATTTAAAATTATAATATTTTATTTATATATTTTATATAAAATAATAATAATAATTTTATTAAAAATTAAATTTAAATTATTGAAAAGTTTTGACCTAGGAGTAAAGAGAGGAATAAGGAAAAAAAATGGAGAGACGGAAAAATGAGACACCCCTCCCCGACCTCGTGCAAGGGGCCTCACGGAAGGGAAGCGAGCCCCTAAGTCCTTGTAGTACCTTTTAGTTTAATAAACCAATGATGTTGTCGTTTTGTTACCGTTCTAGTACCCTTCCCTAGGCAGCTCTTCTAAGAAAACACGTTTTGCTTTTTTTAAGTTTTTACCTCAGTCAAAATTGTAAGGGCTGGGAGCGGGCAAGGGGACCCACGCGCTTTGGTTTATGCTGGAACCTGGGCTGGGATGGACCACAGTTTTATTTGTTCCCGTCGACATCACAATTTGTCGTTTAGCCTTGGGAAAATCTTCCCTTGCAGTACTGCATTGCTGTGACCTGGTTAAGCTAGTTGGCAATGGCAATGAAGGGTACTTCTTTCTGAGGATTTTGATGCTTTATGTGGGGCACCTTATCATTTCGCTTATTATGATTTGAGGTGAAACTGCCAAACGGGTGATCTTGATTTCATAACGAAGCTAAAGCATCCTTCGTATTTAATTGTTTTTCAATATATTATACTGCACATCATTATTTTGTTTTAGTCCACAAAGAATAGTATATCATCTTTCTCACATTTGAATCCCGTAGTTGGGATAGAGCCATACAAAGAGCGCAGCTCTTCATACCTAGTAGTTATTGCCCAAGAATGGGAAAAAGAATTAGAGGGTAAAGACTGTCATTTTGTATTTAAATTTGCTAGAGTTTTACAGAATAATTTTTGAAATTTGTTAATGGATATTTTTGCATTTTCAAATATGAGTAGAGAATGTTCATTTTGCATCTAAATTATTAGATGAAATTTTGATGTCTTGACTTTTTTTAAATAATTTTGATAACTTTTTTATTAACTTGAAAGAAAGAAAGTGTTAAAAAAAAATCAGTTAACCCTTATGTAACAGAACAATAATTTGATTTAAACTATAAAAGAGAACAGAAGATTTGTCAATAATATTGAATGCAATCAATACTGGCATTGCTAGTTAGTTATTAGATGAATTTGGCATGTGGGTGGTGATTTTGTTGGGACCAGTTGTTGAGCAAAAATTTTGTTGCCCCTACTACCTCTTGAATTTGTCGCGAGGCTGGACAATGAAGTTCGCCCCATCACTTAATTAGTACATTCTTGCCTCCATTTTATAATCTACAAACTTGACTTTATTGTGTCATACTTTTAGTTTCAAGAAAGACCATTCATGAATCACTCAGAAACTTAAATCCTCTTTTGGATGAATGTACAAATCAATATAGATAGGGACAGGAACTATGATATAATCTGGAACACAATAACTTACTTTTATCTTTAGAAAAATAATAATTCTGTGCATTTTAAAATTATTTCAAGTAAAATAATGGTTTTTCTTAAAATCATGAAGAAGATTAAGAGTTAAGAAATGCACAACTTTTTCATCACATGATAAGATAAACTTCCTTTAGTTAAGTACATCATTCACGCTGTTGCTAACCCTGATCATGGATTGAAAAGCATCCCTAGAACTCTGCAAGTTCAATGCAAGAAAATACAGATGTAATTTATTAAAAAAAAATAGATTAGCAAGACTTTTCTTTTTATTTTTCGGGCAGAGTCTATGATTGGGTATATTTGTGGCCAATGATTAGATGTAATGTACATGTTATAGTCAATGTCAATATAAATTATAAAATATAAAAGTATATAGAGTTGTACCATTCATTATTCAGTATTTATAGTCTGCAGCTTATTTTGAGCCTCTGCAATATTCTAGCTAGTTAATGAAAAATTTATCTTATCATGCAATGGTAAAAGCATTTGGCCTAATAAAAGCAGAGTGTTGTCTAGCATTGTGAATGTGATCATTAACTGAGTATTCCTGGTTACGCAGTGGAAAATTTGTGCATTTCTGATTTCTATTTGTAACTATAATCATTTCAAATTAATAACAGGCCTAATCCCCAACGGAGATTTTGAAGCATCCCCAGCAAACGGCTTCCCAGGGGAATCCGTGGTGGAGCGACCCACAGAAATCCCAAGCTGGCAATCTAACGGCACCGTTGAGTTAGTAGAGTCGGGGCAGAAACAGGGCGGGATGATCCTCATCGTACCGCAAGGTAGACACGCAGTGAGGCTCGGTAACGATGCAGAGATCAGCCAGGAGATCACGGTGGAGAAAGGCTCCGTCTACTCCATCACGTTCGGCGCAGCTCGCACGTGCGCCCAGATGGAGTCGTTGAACGTGTCGGTGGCGCCTGCATCACAGACCATAGACCTTCAGACAATGTACAGCGTGCAGGGGTGGAACCCCTTTGCTTGCGCGTTTAGCGCGGAGGACGAGAAGGTTAGGTTGGTGTTTAAGAATCCCGGCATGGAGGATGACCCCACTTGTGGGCCCATCATTGATAACATTGCTGTCAAGAAGCTCTTCACTCCCGATAAGCCCAAAGGTAATTTCACTCGCTTTTGTTTTTATTTTTTCTATAAACTATGGCGTCCCTTGTATTCTTTGAAGTATGAACACATTGCTCCAGCCTCTAGATAATATAGTACAGACTTCTTATAATTTTCGTTGATACTGATTGATGATATAATAATAAATTATTTTTCCGAACATGAAAAAGACAAGGATGATTATATTTACCAAGTTTGCGTAATTCTAGACTTTTTACAATTACATTTGTCTCAAATGCTAAACGAACAAACCTTGGCTGTGAATTTATTTGGTCAATGCTGTTTGGTAAGAGTAATTTCTGTTTTGTATTATTTCACCTTGCAGAAAACGCAGTAATCAATGGAGATTTCGAAGAAGGACCGTGGATGTTCAGGAACACTTCACTGGGCGTTCTTCTTCCCACCAACCTGGATGAAGAAACCTCATCACTGCCTGGCTGGATGGTGGAGTCAAACCGGGCGGTCCGGTACATCGACTCGGACCATTATGCAGTGCCACAAGGCAGGAGAGCCATAGAGTTGCTCTCCGGAAAAGAAGGCATAATCTCTCAAATGGTGGACACCAAACCAGACAAACCATACACCTTGACCTTCTCCTTAGGTCATGCAGATGACAAGTGCAAGCAACCTCTTGCTGTGATGGCCTTTGCAGGTGACCAAGCTCAGAACATTCACTATACACCAAACTCAAATTCTAGTTTTCAGAGTTCTAGCCTTAATTTCACTGCTAAGGCTGAGAGGACCAGAATTGCCTTCTATAGCGTGTACTACAACACCAGAAGCGATGATATGAGCTCTCTTTGTGGCCCTGTGGTGGATGATGTGAAAGTCTGGTTTTCTGGGTCCAGAAGAATTGGGTTCGGTGGGCTTGGGCTAGGCATTTTGGCGTTCATTTGGTTCTTGGTTTAATTTTCGTTTGCCTTATTTGGGTCTATGGTTTGCCTTGTTGTCTAGGAAAATCAAAATGCATTGAAGTGGATTACATAGTTGCAGGCTTTTTCTTGCTTATGATCTTTTGATAGTCTCTTTTCCCTTCTTGCATGGTATTGCCATGGCCTTTTCTCTTTCTCATTAAAAAAGAGTATTAACTCTTTCCCTAGCTTTCCATCTCCATGTATTCATTCTAAAATAGGAAAAAATATAATAATTTTGGCACATGTCCTTTCAAATTACATAATGAACCACCAGGGAAAAATTAATCAATATAGAACCAAGAGCTAGTAGGATCTAGCTAAAGAGATTAGTTTTTTATTATGTGGCTAACTTTGAATGGGGTTAAAGATATAATAAGCAATTAAAAAAAACCAATTTAGAATTGATTCCAAAAGAAGATTCAGTCATTGTCAACCGAACATAAAAAAATCAGTGGTACGATAAAGAGGGACAGCAAGAAAAGTAAAGATTTTGGCCCAATTGCAGAAGGAGGATCTGAGCTCTTTTACATAAATGGAGATTTCCCAAATCCAAACTGTACCCACTTTCGAGATTTCACTCCTCCACGGAATCCATCTGGATTCCCCAAAAAAGTATTAGGGAAAACCACTTAGGAGTGCCACAGAAGTTGACTAACCATTTCCAGGTCCCAGGAAATAGACAAATTCTTTTGCAGTCACAGACACTTTAAGTGTGAATAAGTTTGGACATACAATGACCAAAATATCCTCCTGGATTAAAAAGGAAAAAGAGATCGAATGAAAGACCAAATTGCTTGCGTCTTCTTAATCTTCTAGCTATAATGGATATATACTTGCATCTTCTTATCTATTATTGTTGCATTTTCGGCTGTTAAGCGAGTTCATCGTATGGGGCTGTGAGATTTTTTTGAGATAAAAAACAGAGCTTCGACCTTACCTTATTCAAACATTCGACGCGTTAAACTAGAAAAAAGTTGAACTTGTGTTGTTTACGGATCTTTCCTCTTAATCATGTAACTCGTGGTTTTATTTGTTGTGGGTAGTTTAGTGTGTGTTTGATTTTTAATTTGTCAAAAGTTTATTTGGTGAAAGTCAATTTTAATAAAAGTCAATTATTGTAATAAAATTTATGCTTAAATAAATTTTTTTAAAAGTTAGCTGGATATACTAAAAGCTGTTTGAATTATGATCGTGAAATGTGATTTTAAATGTATAATTATTAAAAAGAATATTAATTTATGATGATTTGTAATTTTTATTATACAAATGTAATATAAGATTTGTAATTTTTATTATATATTAATGTTAAAAATTAACATGATTAATTATTCAATTTATAATGCTAAAAACTTGATATCTAATTATTATTATTGAACTAATAGTTATATTTTTAATGAATTAACTATTTTTTAAATAAAAGAATAAGAGATTAAATTTGAGATAACATGGTCAAATAACATCTTACTTTTCAAATTCACTTTTCAAAAGATTCAAATAATTACATTTCTTAAATTTACTTTCAACCACTGTTTAAATGTACTTTAAGGATATGTTTTTTTTATAAAATATTTTACTCAAACAACTTTTAACATTTTAAAAGTAAAATTTTGTTTTATAAATATGAAACGCAAGCAACCCAAATGGGCCCTTAGTTTAATGCATTGTGGCTCCTCTCTCTCTCTCTGTCTATATATATATATATATATATATCTATCTAAGCGCATATGTCATTGATCTTTCACTATTTCTCCATTATTAATGGTGTATGCAAGAATCTGGTTTTATATGAATGTGATGAAAATCCCCTGTTACGAAAACAATATATGTTGTTAATACCATAAGCATCAATTGTACTTAAATATGGTTGGGGTAGTTGCTAATGTGAGCTTTTTAGTGCAGGTGGATAGTTTTTGAAGAATAATAAACAAAGATCTTTATGAAGTGCAAGGTTAACAACTACCCATGAAGCATCACAGCAAATGCAATGGAAAGAGATAATTTACCACAAGTTTTCTTGCAAATGAATCTTTTCTGTACATACATATATGTGATTTAATTTGTATATGTACCTAGACAAACCTAGATACAGTATGAAGATATTTATACGTGCAACCGTTAAAGTTTTTTATGAAATGGTTTATCAATACGATGTAATTACATTAAAGATGTATGTAAAGTCGCAACATATTTTGGACAAGCTGTCACTTTACATAGTATAACCACATTAATTTGCCATTTTCTCTTTAACTTGATAAATTTTAACCTGTCAATACCTTATACATAAGTTGTTATGTTGTCATTATTTAGTTGTCTTATTGCCAATTTAAAGAATAGATAACTTGTTCACTTTTAAATGAAATTATTTCACTTCATAAACTTTTATTTGTCATTGTATTCTACATAAGTTGTCATTTTGCCCTGGTATATTATCATTATCATTAATTTTGACCTATCAATATCCCATGCATATATTGTTATTTTTCTTTGTCATGTTGTCAACATCTGTTGCCTTGTTGTCAATTTAAATAAGAGGTAATTTGTCCATTTTTAAATGAAATCCTTCCACTTTATAAATTTTTACTTGTCATTAATTATCCGACATGTAAGTCATCATTTTCCTTTATTATGTTGTCATTATTCATTGCTTTATCAGTTTAAATAACAATAACTTCATGAATATATGTTTCTTGTCAATACCTTATGCATAAATTTTGTTATTTCCTTTTGCTATGTTGTCATTATTTGTTGCCTTGTCAATTTAAACAGCAAATAACTTTATAAATTTTTATCAGTCAATAGCTCATGCATAAATTGTCATTCTCTTTTGTCATGTTATCATTATACTTGTTGCCTTGTTAATTTAATCAATAAATAAAACATTCACTTTTAAATGAAATTCTTACACTTCATAAATTTTAACTTGTCAATACCTTGTCTGGAAGTTGCGATTTTAAATTGTCACTTTAAAATGAGCAACATCTCTGCCAATCAATTATGATAAAAAGGATACCATATAACTGAAAACAGTAACAATAAATAGAGAAAGAAAACCATGTTTGGCAGACAGGGCATTAAAGCATTAGAGTAATGATTGTGATATGCCTGAAATATAAAAGTTAAAACCATGAGATTTCTTGACTTCAAATTCCTACTCAAATTAAAGTAATATTGCCTCTTATTTTGTTAATCTATGCCGCTCTAGTAGAGAGCTCAAACTCATAAACCTTGTTTGGTATAAAGATATGAACTTTAAGGGATTGAAATTAGGATTAGAGTTGGGATTGATACTTTAAAAATATGTTTGGTATGAAATAATATTTAGATGAAATACTTGCCATAATTTTATTTTATAACCTATCAAAAAATATCAAAAAACTATACTAATGATCCCTATTATTAACTAAAAAAATAGTCCCAAACTCAAATCTGGTGAGCTTCATCTTCAACCTTATATCAAAATTGAATCTACCTCAATCTCCAACCAAATGCGAGAAGATGTGAAGGCAAGCAGGTTCAAACTAGAACTAGTGCAATGGAGATGGCAACGAGATCAACTTGCCATGGAGGCGAAAAATACACAAATTTGAACTTAACACGGGCCCTCAATCTTGCTAACAAAACTCAATGTTCTTTTTATGTTTGAACTCAAAAAATATCTAAAGGGAGGGAGGAATGAAAACTACATAGATATAGACTTGTGACTAGTTGTTCAGAATTGCAAGGGAGGGAGAACTCATGACTCACTGTCAATGATAGTGGAAGGAAGATGAACACAGATTTTGCGAAGTCAAATTACTTGAACTCGCCAATGGAAACTCAAACTTGAACTAGTGGGAGGAAGATGGAGGGAAGGGGAAGGACGTTGCTTTGGGGACAACAACACCAGCAAAAGGAGGCGACTATGGTCGAAGGAGCTTGGCTCCCCGAACGGTGATGGGTGGAGGGTCAAGGAGAGAGACGAGGGAGGGAGGATGAGAAAAACAGTTTGATCACAAAATAATCAATCTCAAAATTGAGTTTCTAATACAAGAGGGTAATAATATTGAATAATCCTAAGTAGATAGGGTTGAGATTGACATTAAATTTTTCAATACCTTATACTAAACATAAAAAATTAGTATTGATTAGTCTCAATTTTAGTCCCATCTCTTAAGTCCTTTATATTAAACAAGGCCATCTTTTTTTTTATTGAAATTATATTCATAATTAAGTAGCATTCATTAATTTCCTTATATTACAGATAAAGTTGTCATGCTGCATAGTAATTGATATAGGGCTCTTAGCTTCTGCTAGCATGAGATGCTTGCATTACATATCCATTTATCACTTAAAAAAGTTGGCTTCAAATGGCTTAGTAGCTTTTCTTATGACATGTCATGAAGTTTGATCAAAGTAAAGCTAAACACATCCTTTAAATAATTATTACCTGAATATATTCAAGAATTCAAGGAAGTTCGGGGTTGTGTGCTTGTTTAAAAAGATAAAGATTTTTTATCCTTGAGTTCCAAATATTCTAAGCTTCAAGCACTTTGACATTATATTCAAGAATGGTTTAACAGCAAACACGAGCTCGTACACAGAGAAACTGAAAGGAGGCGTCATCGTCGAGCTCATACACTGTCAAGCCATCGACAAACTAACAGAATTAAGAGATATAGGATGAGAGTGAGAGTTCGAGTGTGGGTAGATCTTCGAGAAACGAGACTGAGCGGACAGCGAGGGGGTTTTGCGACGATTTTTTTTTTTTAACTAATGGGTATCATGGTCATTAAACAACGTATCTTCTTTACAGTTAAGGACCCGGAGGCCTCACAATTATTTGTATACTTGATGGGACTTTCCTGTAATTAAAATGCTTATGAGAGACTGTACAGTAATTCTGCCAAGGTATTACGAATGAAAGAGTCGTTAACTTTTGCTTAAAAAAAAGAGAGAGAGCCCTTAACAACTTGAGATATATAATTATGGGTTAACTTTTTTTTTTTTTTTTTTTGCGAAATGCCTGGCATTAACTCCACATGTCCCCATGTGTGTGTGTTTTTTTTCCCCATGTGTTAGAGTTGACGGATGACTAACATATGGGCATTTTAGCTCCTTTAAAAAATAGTTTATAAGAAAAAA